ACATTGGTTGTTTTTGTATTATTCCCCCTCTTTTCAGCTATGTGTCACTAATATACCAGTGTTATTGGTTTATTTGGCTTTTAATTTTACAGGTGTGTAAATGTGCTGCTGACTAATCCCATATGGGTAGTTGTCACCCGCATGCAGGTAACCGATCCATGCTAAAGAGGTCATACTCATGTACAATGAGTTCATGTAGTATAGTTACCAATAAATAATGGTATTGGTCTTCCAAATGTAGTATAGTTGCATGTGTTTAATGAAAGAGATAAAATCCCAAGATTTACATTTCATTTGTTATGTCTCCCTTCTTTTATTAGGACCCAAATATCTGAATGAACTAGATCAAATGGGGTTTCAGCTCTGTTATTGACCCTTCGCGGAAAGGACTATCCAGGTTGATTTCCAAGGTCACGTGTCTTGCACTTTAGTGATGATTCTGATGGATTATTTGACAAACATGGGACTTTCAACAACCTGGATGGCCCTAACCATTATGATGGGTAATTGGATTAGGAGGAAGGTAGTAGAGGCCCTATGGCTCATACCCGAGGCCAATCATTCTTCATGTATGACAACAGTCCTCTAATTTCACAGAATCAACATAAAGGGTTATGACACCATTAATAGAGTTTGCTTAGAGACGCGAAGTTAAAAAGACTAAGGCTGTTTTCACTGTTGAAGATGATTGTGGAAGAGCCTATTTGTGCCTTTGGTTGGGTTTATCACTTTTATGACTATGTAACGGGACACAAAATAGAAAATGCGAATTGGGGAATGGAGATTTATATTTATTTTATGTCGTTTATGTGTGTGTATATATGGAGTACAGTTAAGCTTCTTACCTCTTGTGCTGAATTCTTTGAGACTTTCCCTTTCATTTTTCATTCATGCAGACTCATTCAAAAAAATCCAAAAATAGTTCAACCAGAGCTGCGACAACAGAGGGTGTGATTCTTGCTGCTATTGAACCTCCTCCTTACGGGACTACCCATGCAGTGCGTTTACTCACCTTCCTCATATAGCATTACCCATGCCTCAAAAGACTGATATTATACTTTCAAACAACACCGGCATAAGCTTTCTGGAAATATTTATTTTAGAATGCATGTGATACTAAAGGCCTGCTTAATAAATTCCTAATTGGGGACATTTTCTTTCGTAGATAAATGAAGTATATGATGAAGCTGGATTTTGGGGATTTTGGAAAGGTGTTGTCCCGACGTTGATCATGGTATAAGTGACATGATTCTTACTGTTTTATGGGGTTAATGGATGCTGACTGTTTTCCTTTAAATACAGGTCAGCAATCCATCCATACAGTTTATGCTGTATGAGACCCTTTTGAAAAAGCTAAAAAAACGACGAGCCTCCAGCAATAAAGCCTCTGATGTCACTGCTTTGGAGGTAAGTCCAATCTAAATTATTACAGTTTCACGGAGTATTTATCAGAAAACTCATATGGGCATCAACCTGGCTAGATATTTTTGCTTGGAGCACTGGCAAAACTTGGAGCCACAGTCGTGACATATCCTCTTCTGGTTGTTAAGGTGCTATGCCCCATAAATCCCGGTCTTTTTTTTATGATAAGACTAATAGCTTTGGTAAAATCATTCAAAGAGTTAGTGGTTGGTTTATGTTTTCAGAAACTCTAGAAGCTTATAAAAAGCACTGGGTATGTTGTTATAGTTGTAGAAGCTTAAAAATCTTAGTAGTTCATCAGATTTTCTTTAAGCTAAATTATTTTGTTGCCTTGCAGTCAAGACTTCAGGCAAAGCAAGTTAATGGGGTTGATAAAAGACATCAATATAAAGGTCAGTCCCTATGGTTCTTTAACTTGTTTGGTTTGGTGCAGTGGTTGCTATACTACCTACATCTTTAAAAAAGTTGTTTCGCCAAGGTATAAGTTTTAAAATTTGGTATGCTGAAACTATTAGAAATATTGAAGGGTAGATATATTTTATTTTTTTGTTTAACTAAAACACACGTATTTAACTCGTTTCAAGCATCTATGTTTTTTTTCAAAAATTTACATCAGGCCCCGTTCTAGGTAGTTGTGAGTTTTCTGTTTTTGGTTTTATGAGCTCAAAGGTTACATTATATACAATGTGGAATAAGCCAAAAGTATTTATACTTATTCAAATCATTTTAATTTTGAAAACAGAAAACAAACCTATTCTACTTTCCAAAATCTGGTTTAGTTTTTTTTTTTTTTTTTTTAAAGCTAAAAACTGAAAAGAGAAACCTCCCCGGGTTGCAAAACAAGGCCTTAACTACAATGAAAAGGTTAAAAATAATTCATTCTCCCCATACATGTTTTTTTGCAGCAAAATTAAGTTTTTAAAAAGACTCATTTTGAATATAGTAGAGAGTAGAAACTTGATTCTGCAATAGGGAGAATGGCAAATCGACCGCTACAATCTCCATAGGTCCAATGATTTTGCTAAACACCGATAACAAAAATTGTTTTTCACTTTTCAAATAAATTGTAGGCACATTCGATGCCATTGCGAAGATGATGACGCACGAAGGTTTTTATGGGTTTTACAATGGGATGGGCACAAAAATAGTTCAGAGTGTTCTAGCTGCTGCTGTGTTATTCATGGTAAAAGAAGAACTTGTCAGAGGTGCTAGACGGCTTTTAACTGGAGCTGCCGCTTCCAACTCTCTGTGACAAATGAGATTTACCTCTCCCCAACAACAGGCATGCCAATATGGTAGGTACAGTTCTATCTTTAAAGCTGGGCAGGAATGCATATGTGTGTGTGTGTGTGTATATATATATATATACATATATACATACAGATTATAGATTCATACACTTATGATTTAAGTGTAGATATTCAAGATCAAATATCACTAGGGATCTTTAATCCCGACGTTATCACACAAAGATAAAATTATCGGTCCGCTTTATTATATTAGGATTGTTTTAATATATTGTATTGTAACAAAGGAAAGGTGCAATACTACAATGAACTCAGTCTTGATTTCTTGAACTTGGCATGTAGAACAGTTGTTGTAGTACTCTATGTTGACATTTCATCATTTGCCAATGGTCTCTTTCTTAGCTGGTTTTCATGGAACCTCTCTAGAGGTAAGGTCTTTGTACATTTCATCCTCTTAAAATCTTAGATTTGTTGGCCTGTCTTGGGTTTGGTTATTTGTAAGTTGGGATTGGCTTCGCATTTTCGGAGTCGAAGCTCATCGGTTCAATATGAAACTTTTTTTTTGGGTGAATTGGAAATAGATGATTTATCCGTTCTTTAATGGTTGCAATGTAATGGAAACGTGACCTGTAAGAATAAATATAAATCGAACCCCGACCCAGATCATGATGTTTGGTTCAAAAGATTTGACCCATTAGAAAAATAATGAAAATAAGTTAGTCCACCCAACCAATTAAAAAATGGGCAAAGCAAATAGGCTTATAGATAAATAGGCTGATTCCATTCCTTTAATAACCACTTCTATGCACTCAGGAACTCCAAAGAAGCCTAGTACCACTTTGTTTCATACTTAAAGGCACTGGGTATTCATTGAGCCTCTCTTGGGAACCGTTTGGTACACAAAATTAATGGAATTAGAATTACTATATATTGGAAGTTGGAAATTCTATGGAATTGATTTGGATGGAATTGAATTCAACAATTTCAATTCATTTTTTGCACCACCAATTCCACATCCATATATTTTTGTGCTGTTAGAATTTGAATTATTGTTTCCAATTTCAATTACCAGTATATAGTTTGAAATTTGTGTACTAAACGCAGCCTTAAAAAGCTTATCTAGTTAGTCAAAGTTGAGACATTATTGTTCATTTTCATTGTAAGTAGATCAAATTTGGAAAAGTTGTACTCCGTAAATGACGCCGAAACAAAGCACATCGTGTACTTAAGGCAAACAAACATAATTCCTGACTAATGAAGATAAACTAAAGCCGAACTTAGATAATGAACCTTGGTCCAATAGATTAAACCTTTCAGAAAATAACAATTTCATTCTTTTGACAGCATAAAGAAATGATGCCATAATAATGACACTCGCCACATGTAGTGCTGAAATAAAAAAGTAATGGTCTCCACACTCTAATTTGTCCGGTAAACCCATCACTCTAGTCAGTCCCAACACGATTCTCCACCCCCACCAATTGATGAAGTGGGGCGTAGCCGGGGTGAGTGGTTTAGCGAAAGATTAAAGGGGTGAGAGTTATCAAAATTTTAATTGTAGCACTATAGGTGCTCGAATCGGCCAATGTCATATTGTGACATTACTCTTTAGTGTCAAAAGAATGAAGCTCAGAAAATATATAGAATTAATATAGCCCCAGCAATCCGCTCAGACCATCAAGAAATGGGCAAATAAAGCAAACGCGCATAACAACGGATAGGGATAAGTTATCTCTCCACAATAAATATTTTTCTTAAATAGTCCAAGAGAGATTGGAAGATTGAATTTATATCTATCATCCTTCCATGATCTTAAGAGGACAATATTCTATAGAAAGGAAAACTCCAACAATTGGAAAAATATAGTGCTTGTAGTTAATATAATAATGGTAGTTAGAAACTACTCTCTCTGTCTCAATTTATATCGTTTATTTCAGTTATTTTTAAATCATTTTATATAGAAAATGGTGTAGAATTAAAAAATAAAAATTATTTTTTTTCCTATTTTCGTTAGTCATTTAATAAAATAATAAAATCATGTCACTACTAGTTTTGTAGATCTTTTGATATAATTTTTAAACATGTAATTACTCTTTTCTTCTTCCTCTACCCATAGATTCACAAATCTATCACTAATTCACTAGCATTGGGGCTTTACTCTTTAGACAATTGCCTTCATCTCCTAGTTCCACTCCTAAAGTCCTAACCACTGCATTAATAGATTCAAGCTCTGTCCCACGAATTTGGCATTACTTCTCAATATCAAGAAAATCAAGACAATCTAATTGAACAATCTCACATGCAAAACCCAGAGGACAAACAGTCTCAAAGAATCGAAATTAGATGAGATGCCAGATATCTTGGAGATAGAATATGGAGACCCATAATCGGGCGACGTTTCACCAAACATAATGTAACATAATCAAATAGTATCTGCATTTGATTAAATTTCATTATGGCTCAAATGAATATGAAAAAAATTATATATAACACAAGATGTGTATACTGAATTCTACAATTTCTTTCCAAAAGTTTTCTTTTTTTAAAAGTTCCATTAACCCTTCCATGTGAGAAGAATGGAGAGAAATCAAAAGTTACTTATTACTACTCCACTGTTTGGGCTGACCGGCTGAGAAATGTGGTTGTTGGCGCATATTCCTCGAATTTTTGCCAAATTCCATGCAAATTTGAGGACAAAATCTGGAGATACAACTGCAGGGTGTGTGCGATCCGTTTCTAGTCATTGAAACTTGAACAGATCCCTCCCATTGCAATGCAAAATTTAAAACTTGAAAGTCATACTTTGGTGCTTTTTCCCCACATCAATCCTTCCGACTGCGTTTCTTGGCTTCGCTATAGAGAATAACACCAAAAACTGTGAGTGTATAGCCAAGCATCCCTGTGACTGATACTGGGTTTCTGAATATTAATATTGACACGACCACAGCAACCGCTCCTTTAGCGTTCCCCAAAACCTGTGAGAACGAATAACAACCCTTTATGAGCACTAAGGATATGTTTGGAACGTGCAAAACACTAGGGAAATGGGGAAAATGCAACATTTTTCATCAGTTTTGTTGTAACTAAAAAATGAATGATGTTATTAATATCTTACAGAGGTTAAGATTTCTTAGACTTCATATGATAGAAAAAAAATATACTTAGTATACACCAAGATTGAACAAATGTCTTGAAAAATTTATTGAGTTTGAACACAGGTTTTAATAATTCCCTCGACTCTTATTATTTTCCTTAGCTAAACACATTCAAAATCCAAACGGGGCCTAGAAAGACAAAGATTGCCCTTTACAATAAAATGCAGCCCATAATCAAAGGTGTCACGCACTCTCAACGGTCGCACTATCAGTCACATTCTCAAATTTTCACTAAGATCTAGAAAATGGTAAGATCAGTCTGAACTGATTTTTGAGTGTTGAGATCCCAGCTAAAAAAACATCGCAGAGGTGATGAAATACAATGAACTAGCAAAACTTTTGTTCCTTCCATAAGGACATTATACTCTAGGTCACGGAAAGTGCTACGGGGATGGGAAAATTGAGGAAAGTTTTCTTGTGTTGAGTTATACCTCGAAAAAATGCCAAGGAAAATGAGATTTCAGATTTTATCAGTTTCTTTATTACAAACATCAGATTCCGTTGTCTTTATATAGTTGGCATAAAAAATACATATCAACGTATATGTCTAACAGAAACACCCTCTCTGTTTCTTTACGGGGTAAGAATGTGTGGCCCCACCATACTCCAATAGAAAAGTTAAGGAAGCTAGTTTGGGTATCAATATGGTTTGTTCCATAGGGGCAAGTCATAAGCCTCAAAATATACCAACAAATAAAACTATTTAATGCAAATGAGTATAACACTTTTTTTTCTTATGGAATTTGTACTTTAAGACTGACCAAGCCATGTCTTTTCTCTTTCTAGTAACTAATGTAGAACACTTAGACCTTCACTATAAATCTACAACTAAGAGTAGCACCACAGCAACTTATTAAATTGATCACCATGTAAACTGTTATATATCTATATACAAACATTTCAAACGAAATTCATATTCAGAAACCAACAAAGAAAAACACAGATGAATAATAGAATAAATTGAAAAGACAGGGGGGAGTGACTAGGAGGAGAATAATAATAACAAAAGCATGGAGCATCAGAGAAAAGATAAAAGAAAGATGCATGATGCAGTGATGCGGAATTCTGAATCACACAGTTAGGGGAGCAGCATAATAGAGCGAACAATAGAGTATATGTTGTTTCTTAGCTATTAGACTAAATTTTCATATACGGGCCTAGTTATTTATAGTTCCATAGTCTAAGTAAAATTCCCCCTCACAAAAAGCCTTGAGGTGAGCCTCAAGGCATAATCCTTTTTCTTTGACATGTAAACCTCTTCTTACGCAAACAACTGAAACAAGGCTTAAGCCTTGATACCCATTCAGAGCACCTTACCCTGAGACAAGCCTCACAACAAGCCTCATAAGTTCTTTTTAAAGCATGCTCAACAGAGTTGGGGGATTATACTGGGTTTGTCGCTGTTGTACTTATCAATTTGTATCTACAATTAGCCCATTAATTTCTAGGCTATATTATTACTATTGCCTTCCACATTTCCCTTCTAATTTTCCTCACGTTTTCCAGATCCCCTCCTCTGTAGGATCCAAACAGACCCTAAATGATTGGGAAATCAAAATCTTGGCAAAACTAGTTAGAACCATAAAATCTCTACAATAGAAGGGTCATAGTGATATCTTGAATCCGAATATCTAGAAAATGTACCTGGAGAGTCAATGCACTGGTGTGCTTTGTAACCAAAAAATTGGTCAAGTTTACAAAATAGGCAAGTGCAGAGTTGAATAGAAGTAGCCATATGATTCTGACATCTTCCCTTGCAAGTGCTAACGTTATACCAACAACATTTTCCTCCATAACTAGTGTTGCAGGTAATAGAAGTACAACAGCAATAGGAGCCATGTACAGAAGAAGATTCATGGAGTTCAGCTTCTCCCTTGAGTAAAACATTTAAAATGAAATAAAAAAGCATCAGCTTTGCATCCCCAAATTGTTTAAGATAAACTATTCATAACTGTTGGGTAACTACTTTTACCCTTCGGAAGAAAGCAAAATCCCTTGAAGCACCGACTTAAGTGCCCTAGCTGCTGTTGCACCAATACACATGATAAACCCAAATAAATGGAAACTTGGCTCTCCCTGTAAACATGGAAGGATATAAAGAAACAAAGGAATTAGCTGAACAAAAAAGATTTCAAAACTAATATAGCTCACACAAAATAATAGAACCAATGAACGACATTGAAAACCACAGTGATATATAAAGAACGGATCATACTATAAAGAATCCAAAATCATATCTCCCTATTAATTCTGCTTGGCGCGACCATCCTTTTCAAGCTCTTGTCGAGCTCCATCCCATATGGTTGCCAGCATATCCAAGGATATTACATTACTTTGAATACCGATCAGAATGAGTATCCATCTGCAGCTGCCTACAATGCAGAGAAGCCGAGACAGATTTGGCTAAATCATACAAGTTCTATTTGGATACCAATCAGAATGAGTGAAAAGCTCCAGGGGATCAAAGAGGCTGAATTGGCCTTGTATAATGTCAAACCTACCCTGCAAGCCTATCAAAAATGTCTCAGCTATCCCTATATCTTGCCTGCATATGTTAAAAGAGCAATGGCTAGACTACAAGACCGGCTGACTGATGAGAAAAGAACTCTTGGAATTTGGGTGAGGGACGCGACTTCTACGATAGATTTTCCTTTGCTCAATGATGAGGACCTTCACTTTTTTCGTTGCTTCATTAAAAGATATATCGAAGTAATGTAAATCTCTGGATAAGCCGGCAACCATGTTGGAGGGAGCTCAGCAGTAGATCGAAAAGGAAGGTCTTGCCACAGCAAGTAGAAGCAGAATTTATAGGGACTAGGGAGAGAAGAGTTTGGAGTCTTATACATATAGTATGATCTGTTCTTTACACTTCCCAGAAAAATGAGCTGAGCAAAAAAAACTCTAAATGCTTAGGATTAGTGAAGCTGATCAAATAGGCAAATAGCAAAAGAAAAGATATTTCAAAGAAACAGAATGTTGGAATAGGTTCACTGATCCAGTAGCAGTTTAGTAACAGCTGTTCTTATGGCTAAGGAAATAATGGTAGCTCCAAAAACATGCCTCTAAAAGATGTTATCTTTCATATCTATGGAAATTGCAATAACAAATTAACGAAGAATGCACAAAGCTAGAGAGATTGGAAGAATTCAGCTAAAAATAGGAGACGAAACAAAACAAAAAAAACATACCCCACTAGCTATGACCACGCCTGTAACAACAGGGATAAGAGTAATGTAAGTCAACCAAGCCTCTCTTTTCAGAGTAATCAAATAGGCAAACACGGCTGTGAAGAAGGGCGTGGTGGCTCCGATTGCCTGGTTAAAGGAAACCGGCAAGTACCGGAGAGAGATGTTTCCGCTGACCACAGAAGCACAAAAGACAAGGCTCAAGGCAGAGATCTTCAAGAACTGAACCCTAGATCTTATAGTCTGCATCGGGACCATCTTCATCCAGGCAATGGCAATGTAGCTAAGCAGAGAGCAGGCCGTCATGTGACACATGGTTAGAAAGATCGGGTATTTGAATCCATAATTGCTGAGCAAGTACTTGTTCAGCAGCAAAACCCCAATGTTGGAGGAGTACCAAGCCGCCACGAGCCCGATCGTGAAGAACCGGCCCGTTGCCTTCATTGCCGACATTCCTCCGATTCAATCAATTTTCCTCGCCACTGGCAGAGGAAAAACAAAATTAACAAAAGAATCAGCAACGGATCTGCAAGCTAGGGTTCGAGGAAGGCGCGAACAAGAAGAGCAAATCTAGAACGAAGAAGAACAAAAAAAACGTCAATCCTTGGCGGATCTGATTCGAATTCAATTAGCAAAACAGAAGAAGAAAACAAAGACAGACCAGAGATGAAAGACGAATGAATGTAACCGAATTGTACCTTTAGATATAAATATGAATCTGCCACTACAACATAATAAATACAAGCATAACCGAACGAGAGAGGGAGATAAGGCGGAGGTTGACTGCGGCGGCGGCGGCGGGAGGAGGGCGCGACCGACGGAGAAATTGCAGACGCGTAAAAGAAGACAGAAGAAGCGGCAGTAGGATTAATGCGTTCAACTTCTTCAATAAATAATAATTACGGACTAATAATCCCTTCCTTCCCCGGTAATGACTAGGACTCCTTAATTTCCTTCCACCCTATCTCTCTTTTATTTACACTTTAATTTCACCGCGAGAAAATTACTTTCACTGCGACAAAATTGCTTTTGTTGTCTTTCATATTTTACTCAATGGTGTTATAAAAGTGTGATGCTGACATCGTATTCAGTTTTAAATGCGAACTTTCTCATATTTTTCATGAATATTTTCTTTTTTTGCAAAAAAATACATTTCTTTAATGCTACAAATGCAATAAGATTCATAAAATGAGCATGTACCTTAGATCTACCGTCTATTTTGCCTATCGGGTAAATGCTCCGAGACATCTCAAATTTTATACGAATAAATCGCATGCCTCTATAATGTCTCTCTAGTAAATACTAAATACCCTAACCGTCCAAAACCAAAAATAATATTTAAAAAAAATCAGGTACTAATATAAGGGGCTGTTTGTTTCAGCCTCTTAATGGTTCAGATGTCTGTATGGTTCAGCACTTAATGGTTCAGACTGTTTGTTTCAGCCTCTTAATGGTTCAGATGTCTGAATGGTTAAGAGATTTGCCTCTGAATGGTTAAGTATTGTACAGAGTCTGAATGGTTAAAACCTCTTATCTGAATTGATCAAACATTTGCCTCTGAATAGTTAAGCAATATACTAGCTCTTAATGGTTCAGACCTCTTACTGGTTCAGCACTTAATGGTTCAGACCTCTTACTGGTTCAGCACTTACCGATTCAGAAGTTGCCAAACAGCCCCTAACTCTATTTCTTACAGACTTTATCCAAAGCTTCTAATTAACTTAGTTGCTATACTAAAAACATTTTCTCGGTGGGTACAAGAATCAACAATGAAAAAAAATACGGAGTACTCCGTAAAAGAAATAACAGCGAAAATGCAACATACAAAAAAAACGCAACAGAATTTATAATACAAGTATTAAAATACTCTCGTCCGTCCCGGAGCTTCCCATGCATGAAGAAAGTTACGATCTACATGAAGGGAGAGATCTTCAATGCCAAACAGATCGTGACGTCTAGGAGATGAATTAGAGCTGAACGAGTGGGCTGCCCACACGTTTGTCATCGTGATCTCGGTGGAGATGTGATAGCCGAAGCGTATCTAAACATAGTCCGGGTTAGAAATCCTAGATTAGAAGTTTTGTCATAACAATTCGGAGAAGTGTGTTTCATCATGTTGTTATGTACCGGTGTAACTTTCATCTAGTGATTTAGTAGATGGTTATTACACGGACATAAGCCCCACAAACTAGGAGAGTTCTCTGAACTGCGTAAAAAAAAATACGGAGTACTTCGTAACTTGAAAGCGGAAGGGGAGAAACGGAACTAGCACAAACAAAAAACCGAAAACGAATCGTAAAAATGTAAAAGAAAGCAAAATTCAAAAATATTGTACTAAAAGAAAACAAAGTCTAATAAGGATTCACCCCTCCTAACGGTGGAATTCAAGAGATACTTTCTAAGTACATTCCCATTAACCCCATAAAACTTAAATGCGTTTGAAGTTATTTTGAAAATATCAGACTTGAGAGTTCTATACTGAAAATTAAGATACCAAGAAGTATTATTCTATTTCAATACCTCCTTTTTTTTAAATATTGATTTTTATGAATTTCAAGAAAAAAAATTTAAAAATTTTATGAAACTTTATGAACAAATTTATTTAGAAAAAAAATTGAGAGCTTAGAGAGATAGTTATCATCAATTTTACCAATGAAGCACCAAATTGTTTGGATCATTTACGGCTTTCTAAAGTCAAAGAATCTTGCCAAAGAATTATTTACTGTATATTTTAGTAGTGGAAAAAACTCACAGGATCCTTTTGGTACACGGAATTGAAATTGAATTGGAAGATGAAATTCTATGGAATTCATTTGGATGGAATTGTGAATTCCCCAATTCCAATTCATTTTTGGCACTACCAATTCTAAATGCATATATTTTTATACTACCAGACAACATAATTGAAATTATTATCTCCAATTTTCAATTTCATAATTTAAATTCCATGTAAATTTTCATATTCTTGAAGGAGGTGATTATCGATGAATAGTGGCAGGTGGACAAAGAAAGAACATCCAAAAACGAAAGTCAACAAATTCCAAAAGTTGGAGTGGACAAACAAAGCACGTGGTAAAGGCAATCACACTAAGAGCTTGTTCTCTCCCATTAAGACTTGTTCTCTTTCACTTAACCTCATTGGTTTTAATCTGATTGAAATATATTCTAATCTGAATATAATCATATTTATAATTATTTTTGATCCGATCTTTACTGATTCAAATAAGAATAAATTTAAGAGAACTAGTTCTACAGTACAGGCTGTTGACCCTTGTGTTTTGATAATGACAACCATGCATATGGGATGAGCTTTGAATTTGGATCTTTTCATGTGGATTGCCTAGCACGTTGCTTAGAGATTCAAGACTAGATTTGAAGATTAAAGGTTTTCTAGATTTTTTATTTCTTTTGAGTCTTAGTTCATGTTAAAGTGTTTGGCACACCTTTATTCTTAAAATACTTTGTTTTTCCTACAAGAATTCCTCTTTGATTGTTTTCAAAACTCTTTCTCAAAACTTTTCTTCAAAAATGTTTCTTCNTGTTGACCCTTGTGTTTTGATAATGACAACCATGCATATGGGATGAGCTTTGAATTTGGATCTTTTCATGTGGATTGCCTAGCACGTTGCTTAGAGATTCAAGACTAGATTTGAAGATTAAAGGTTTTCTAGATTTTTTATTTCTTTTGAGTCTTAGTTCATGTTAAAGTGTTTGGCACACCTTTATTCTTAAAATACTTTGTTTTTCCTACAAGAATTCCTCTTTGATTGTTTTCAAAACTCTTTCTCAAAACTTTTCTTCAAAAATGTTTCTTCTCAGGTTTTTATTCGAATAAATATCAATTTATTCGAATAAACTGGACTTCTGCAGATTGCAGTTCAGTCTGTTTTAATCGAACAAATGTTTGTTTTATTTGAATAAGGGCTGATTCCAGTTTTTCCAAAGTTTTGAAAACTATTCGAATAAATGACTATTTATTCGAATAAGTAGGCTCCCAATTTGCAGTTCATTCTGTTTTATTCAAATAAATCCAGAAATTATTCGAATAAGCCCTGTGTTCTCAAAAATCATATTTTATCCAAACTATTCGAATAAATTGTGTTTTATTCGAATAAACCGGCAGTTTTTACAGATTAACGGACACTTTTTGAATCTTTTTGGAAGTTACTTTATCCCTATCTCTATTTATTCAATCATATCTCGTTTTTCAATATAGTAGAACACCCAAGAACACTTTCAATAACATTCCTTTGATTAAACAAAGAGATTCATTCAAGTCCTCATCTTCCTACTCAATATTCTAGTTCTTCATTTGAGAAATCTTTCTTCATCTTGAGTTGGAAAGTTTTTTGTGTGCCATACACTATAGGTTTGGTTGTAATCTACAGCATATCCGCTCTTGTTCGAAGAGTCAATTCCGCTGTGCACTTTGGTTTGTAAGTTTTTAAATTGTAAAAACTTGAATTTGAAATAATTCAAGTTTTGGATTGAAATCCAAAGTCTTGTGAAATCAAGACTTCGGTGGAAAGGTTAGAGGCTTGTGAAATCAAGTTCTCGAGTTGTATTCGGATTGTTAAACTCTGTTAAGTTTAACAAGGATTAGTGGAATCTCAGGCACGTTTGCCTTGGGGACTGGACGTAGGCATTAAGCCGAACCAGGATATATCGTTGTCTCCTCGCTTTCATTGTTTCCGTTAATTTTTTATTTTTATTCCTGCGCTTTTTCTTTTTTGAACGAAAAATTTTATTATTTTCGTGAACACCTCTATTCACTCCCCCCTCTAGAGGTGTGAAAGGCGTCTAACACAGGCCAAATACATCCACTGGCTTGAGTCATAACTTCTCATTTACTTAGATTATACTTGTAAGTTACACATTCGAGTGGCGTAACTTAGTTGGTCAATAAAGATTCTGGTGGGCATCCTAAAATGGGGTTCATCCTTTTTTTCATACCAGTTACTCAAGTAACTTTACAAGAACTCATTCAATGAGCAAAAAAGTATACTCTATAGATTTTAATATACCGGAAGTACTCCGTACAAGTTCATAAGACCAGAGGTTCAACAACCGTGAGCACATTGTCACTGATCAATCACCCTGCACCCCGCGCCACCACAGAGAATGTTGGTGGGTCAAGCGATCATATTCTATTCCAAATGAGTTCAAACATTTTGTTAGATTTCCAGTATTGAATCGATGCGATTCTATGATTTTGACTTTGGAGAGCTTAATTTATATTTTGGAAAACAGAAGTACTCTAAAAACGAATAAAGAGCACTCCAAAACATCCATTACAAACTGTCACACATTAGAGTGAAGAAAAATGACACTTTCAACCCCAGGAATGATACCATTAGAGATGTCTGAGAATATTTTGTTGGTAACCTTATTGTGACTGTAGCATGACCCTATACTGAGCATAGGTAAGAAGCGGTTTTCGTTCTTAGACACACTATCATAGCACACTACGAAAACTAAGGGCTTGTTTGGTCTGAAGGGAAGGGATCTCGGAGGAGTCAGAGCTCCCCCAACAATTTCAAGAGATAAATATAAAGAGATTGGGCAAGAAGAGGAGGTGAGATGATTCCCTAACCTCCCATCAAACCAAACATACCCTAAAGCATTGCATAGGGTTTCCCACCCTAGTTCCTCTCTCAGAAGAAACGATTATGGCGAGTCAAAAGAAACAAGCATACAATGTGGATACATATATCCAATTCCATGGTGGTAGGTCTCTATTCATCATTAGGAGCAACATAAACTACACATTACAGCATATTAAAATAGAGCACGTACACAAACTACACAAAACTAACACAAACATGCCATTTTCAAATCTTAGTTCTTTGCGGCATTCACTGGATTATCATCAACTACCACATTGACCTTCTCATACCTGAATGGAGTAAATTCCCCATGATACACAATGCATTTGGGTTGGACATCTGTCTCTTTCCCACCAGAAAGCATCACCGCTCGAAAGAGTAGACCAAAAACTGTCAGTAATGCTCCAAATCCCAGAGCAAAGATCAATCCAAAACAGAGAGTTACAGTTTGGTGTCCATCGTTATTTTCTGCTTTTAGCTCATCGGAAAGCTTCAGCGGATCCACAGGTTGAGAATGCAACCATTTTGGGACATTTCTGGTTCTTACCCTCCATGAATACACGCTAGTGGCCTCGGCTGAGTTTTCGCCAGATGAACTCAATCCCATCAACACATCTTCTCCTTTCCACATCTTGCCCAAATCGACTTCATAAGCAAGCAATGGGTCATTGGGCCTGCCACCCCAAGCTCCAGATACTCTAACCTCCAGCCGTTTCGAGGTCGAATCATAATCGACCCAAGAACGCAACTTCAGCCCACTGTTCAAAACCAAATTAATGGAAGAAAGATTGCAGCTTTTCAGAGAAACAAGGCTACAGACATCGACTCCGACGTGATTGTTATTCTCGTCCCTCGCATCCGGATTCACCATGGTGTCAAACTCAACCCCGAAGAACCGGGTTCCTTGAGAAAGCCCGAAACTTGCATTGGAAAGACGAGAAGGGAAATCAATTGGAACGATGACCAGAGCAATGCCGTCAGTGCCCTGGGGTGGGATCGAGAAGGTGAAGTCTGTGGAGAAGGAGGTCGGATTGGGGGCGAGGAATCTAAAGGGCGAACGCCGGAAGAGAAGCCCGGAGGTCCGAGAAGACTTTGTCGGGTCGGTGAGAGTGACGAATGGGCCGGCACTGGTGAACTTGGCATCGCCGATTACGTCGAGGTCCGGGTCGAAATGTGGAGCGATGAAAAAAGGGTTCGAGGTTACGGATTGGGGGAATAATTGCAGAAGAAGAGCTAGAGCTAAGAGAATCAGGCATTGCATTGTGCGAGAGAGAAGAAAGAGACCGATCGGATTGTTTGTGGGTTAGGGTTTGTACTTTGTACATTCAGAACTGAAGTTATCTTTGAAGGGTAGCAATAAAGGTAGCTAATTGTAGATGGAGAAGATACTCAAATTTCAGTTTTTCACGAAGTTAAAATCTAAATTTAATTATACCTTTTTTTAAAGAGTATTTATTCAATTTATACCTTTTTTTAAAGAGTATTTATTCAATTTTAACTCCTCGTATAAAATAGTTAAAATTGATAAAATTTTATCATTAATTAAGTAAATTTTATATTACATTTTAATATAATATTAATCTTGTACTCATATGTTTTCAAAATATTTATTTAATTAATGTACGTAACATGTAATTTTTATTTAATAATAGAGTCTTAATAATATGTCAAAGATCAATCTAGATTTTCTCTAAAAATTTAAAATTAGACAAATATTCTGAGACAAAAAATATATTACATTTATATTAAAATATGATTTTGACATATCATATTTTTGTAGAGTTTCGTATTTATTTAGTTGAAATTATACTCCGTATTTATTGATGGTGAAAGTATATAAACAATTTTACAAAAACTTTTGAAAAAAGATTTTTATAATGGAGAAAGTGATATAAAATGAGTGGAATTGTGTTCAACGAAATCCATGTATCAATGCGCAAGCATTATGCCACTTCATATCTTTCTTCAAAGAGACTACGAAATGAATTAATCTATGTTCGACGAAAATCTGTATACCTCTTCGCAAGCGTTTAGTCACTTCATACTTCTCCCTTTTTATCAAGCCACTTCATATCATATAGTTGTTCAAACAAATTATAAATTCTAAATTGGTTTAACATTTTAAAATCATAAGAGTCAAATTATGAAAATCTTCTATGGGAGATAAGGTTTCGCTTATGGAGCGGGATTCTTCTTGTGCCTTTCTCCACTTTAATCTTTTCTCGCTCACTATTTTAAGTCAAATTTTATTATTTTTATTGACTTATCACTATTGTTTATTTGATAAGATAATATAATTACATCATTTTTAGTTTTATAGATATTTTAATATAATTTTTAAGTATATAATTTTTATTTTTAATTCAAATAATTTTCATATAAAATAATTTCAAATGAAATCCTTTCAAACATCGTACGCTAGATGACTCTTTTTTTCTCTCTCTACACCCCTCCATCCTTCTCCCCCTCCACCGTGGCACCCTTCCCTCCCCTTCCCCTCACACCCTACCCTCCAAAAGCCTTTACAATTAATTTTGTCACCTGGACAGTTCTAAATTGCAGAGTACATTTTTGGATCAACTTCTATGACCAGATCCAAGCATCTCAAATCCTAAACTAAAACCCACATAGAAAGATCAGAGAAACCCACCCGCCATATCCTATATCAGCTATTAAAAACTCCCAAAGGTACCCTTTTCTTTCGGTTCCTGACGTTCATTCATACATACATAATACATTTGACTGAGGTTGTTTTCTGTTTACCTCAAGGGATTCAATTTGATCTTGTTATCTTGCTGGATCGTATGTACGTGTTATGGATTTCACTTATATTTACGTTTCCTTTACGGATGTGGTTTTGAAGGTTAATGGATTCTTGAATGTTGACATGACTTCTTCCCATATAGTTGGGGGATGGGTGTAACATTGATCAGATCAATGGGAAGCATCCATTGCCTTCAAAGTGAGAAAAAGATTGGATCTTTGGGATTAATGGGAGTTTGGGTACATGAATTTTCAATGGGTTTTGGATCTTTGGCAGGACCAATGGGATTAATTTTCAATGAGTTTCTTTTTGTTTTTTGTTTTTTTGGCAATTATAGAGTTTTGGATCAATTCCAATGCTTTTAGCTCAGCAAATGAATATGGAAAAAGAGATGTAGAATTTAACACATGGGTGGATTGGGAGGCTGGTCTCCGAATTCGGACCAAAATATTTCTTCTATAAGTAAAATCTATACCATATAGGCGAATTATGTTTCCAACTCACCTTATATGTTCGAATTTGTTAGGATTTATTATCTACCCCATAGTTATATGTCACTAGTGCTACAACATTGCATCAAATCCTTTCAAGTGCTTCATCATATGATTTGGTTATAGATGTGGCCTATATATCTTCTCTTCAACAAGTTTTCGGGAGCAAAAGAGGAAAATGTTCAAAGATCAGGCAGGAGCAATTTGAGGTTGATTCGGCCCTTGCCTTTTATTCAGTCTCCAACCCGTAGGCTTTTGTCCCGGTCAGTTTCTATCCAAGTGAGTCAATTGTTTCATCCGTATTCTCATCATGGATGCTGCTACTCTAGTAGATCGTGAACAGCTAATATAAACATTTGGTGACATAGGTCCAACACATCAACCAACTACATTCTTGGGATTGTGGCCTTGCTTGTGTTGCAATGGTTTTGAGAACTCTTGGCTTCGGTAATTGTAGTATTGGGGAACTGGAAGAGCTATGTTGTACAAGAAGGTATTTTTTTTGTGAAACTGTTTGCTATTGAATGATATTTAGGCTCCGTGTGGTATTCAGTTGTGGCTTATCAGTAGAATAACTACCTTTTGACTCCCTTAATTGGCTGAAGGGATGAAACCAAACACTATTGGTTTAAGAAAACCCAGTAGATTTGTCCACTTGAAGCTTCCAGCCAAATACTAATTTCTACCAAACATGACCCATTATTGTGAATGTTAGTATTGGTAACCTTTCTGTTATTTGGAGCTTCATACTCGATAGTGAATAGCTATGCTTTTGATTGCTATAAAGTGACATCTTTTTTGGGTTACAGCATTTGGACAGTTGATCTAGCATATTTGTTGCAGAAATATTCAGCAGATTTTTACTATTTCACAGTCACGCTAGGAGCAAACCCAAATTTTAATGTGGAGTCATTTTACAAGGTAAGTTCCACTTCGCAACGTGTTTCATAAATGAGTGTGTAGAACACTTCTTTACACACATACGGAGTAAATCATACTCTGTAATAGTTTATCCCTATAAGTACAACTTGGTTACTGCTTTGCAGGAGCAATTACCTACTGATCTGCTACGTGTCAATATGTTGTTCCAAAAGGCACGTGAAGCTGGCATCGATGTTGAGGTAAGCTTTATTTTTTTATTCACTCCTCACACTAAATTTCACTGTTTGTTGCGGTCTTCTGAGAAAAATTCACTCTTTACTCAGAGTAGAGGTAAAGTCTGCATACATCTTTCCCCTCTAGACCCTACTTTTGAGTGGGATATATTGGGCTCGTTTAGTTTGGTTTGGTCTCATTCATCTTAAGATAAATATTTGGGTCTGAAAGGTGAGTGTATGCAGATTGCAGACCGTACCCCTACTATGAATAATGTTTAAAAGAATTTGTACATTAACTTGGTGTTTGTTCCTTAACAGTGCAGGTCAGTTAGTGCAGAAGAGATCTCCCTATTAATATTGTCAAGAAACTATATTGCAATTGCTTTAGTTGACCAATGCAAGTTAAGGTATACCCTCTCCTTGAAGTTAAAGTTTACCCATTCTTCAAAATTTTAATAAGGTGTCAGCCTCACTTTTATGGAGTTTATGCAGTCATTCTTGGCTGGAGGACCTTTATGTTTCAAGCTTTTGCAGTAACAAGCCCGGGTATACAGGTGAGAGATCCAATGCCCTTCCCCATTTTCTTGCTCTTCACGACGTAGTCAAAGTAGTCAAGATGGGATATGCGAATTGCTTCGATTAAATCCATAGGTTTCATACAGATTAATAAGTTCAACAAAAGAGATTTATCGGCTCTGTTCGGTATGGCCATATGGGTATTGCCATTATGATTCATGGTGATATAACTTGTTGCAGGTCACTATGTTGTCATCTGTGGCTATGATTCAGGCACAGACACATTTGAGATCCGAGATCCAGCAAGCTCACAGTTTGTTCTATTATTCCCATATTTTTTCCCCACTCTTCATGATATGTTTGAACTTTGCAATAAAACGTTAAAAATGTTTTCCAGGGAACACGAAAGGGTAAGTTCAAGGTGCCTAGAAGAGGCTCGCAAAGCCTTCGGAACTGATGAGGATTTACTACTGGTAAATGCCTCTGTCTGTAGTGTTTTTTACCACCATATAAATCCAGTAAAATCCCACAAAAAGCAGGGTGTGGGGAGAATGTGTTTGACACTTGTATTAACTTCGTTGGTGCAGATACGTCTCACTGAAGAGAACCCAAACAACCTCTGAAGTCATTGTTAACTTCACATCATTGCTTATTCAGCATGCTATGTGACCGGTTCATTTGCGTCATATGCGAATGATTGCCACCTGGGCACTTATCATTCACACATACATACATACATACATATATACATATACGTGGTGGTTTTTGCTACATTGGTCACACACGGCTTGGTTGGTTGAGAGTCGCTCGCCTTGAAGTAGTAAGACCCACCAAACTGTTGTATTAATCACTGGAAAATAAAAAATGTGGATTGTATGGAACAAGTATACACTGTATAGTACTCCATATTTATACTTCATCATTATAGATATTCTTGAATAAAAGTCTTTTTAGTGTCAAGAATTGTTTGCACTGTCAAATTGGGTTGTCAGTGTCAAATTTAAAAACATGGATTCTTTCTATTTACAGGGCATATTTGGATGATTTTAAATACTAACCAATGTAGTTTTTTTTCCGCCACAAATTGTGGAGCTTCATATACCAAAACTCAAGATGACTTTAAAAGCTCTTCATAACCTATTCAGTCGCATACTCGCATAAAAGCAAAAAATGTGTTTCTATTAAAGCAAAAAATAATGCCATCAAATAAGGAATCAAGTGGTACATAATTTACCCATTTTCTGGTCATATGAATGGTATATTCATCAATGAAACCCTATAATTTTCACAGATAAGATATGTTAATGAAAACAATGCACAACAGGGGAGTAATTTCAACAATGGTAAAAATTGAACCAAATGAGCCATAAAAATTGATACAAAGTACAAAATTTTTCCAGCACCAGCCCAAGGTTGCAAACCAAAACGTACAAATCATTGAAATCAACGTAGTTCCATAGATCAGACATCATCGTCAAAACCATCTTCATCATCTTTAATGTATTTCTCTTGCACTGCAGCAACTGTATTTTATGAGTTAAGGGATGCAATTTTGTTAACCGTTTTTCGGCAATGAACCGTAAAGAAGTACACATGCGGTAGTGTTTTGTGAAAAAAAGAAGCTAATAATGGTAATAATAAGCCAAACCAAAAGCCCCTACCAAATGGGCTTTTAGTTCTAAAGTGACATTGTTGGTCTCGCTCCACGAAACCTTTCAGACAAGTGTTTCTGTGTTTGTGTGTACCAAACATGACCATATGCCCCAAGAGAATAAGTAATCACATAGGTGAAAAAAGGATATCTATAGTAATCCCAGTCAACAGGACCAACTGCAATTTTGCTGAACTCGACTGCAGTAGCGTCGATGCCAGAAAAGATGTAGCCATTGGTCTTGTCGATCAATTTAACAAGATTCCCAACACTCACCTTGTCCTGTAATGGAAGCTTTGGTTGAACAAACAAAAATCATCATAGAATAAGGTGTGTGTGTGTGTGTGTTTTGTGAGGTTAAACCGTTAAAGAAAACAAAACCACTCTCATGCCTGAATATCTAATGTTGTGAATGACACCAGTGAAAAATTTTCTACCACCTCGCAGAGCTCCTTTGTAAGCTTTCTGAAAAGTTAATAAACGACAGTGAAGACCATAGAAGTAAATGATAATGTCAACCCCAAGGGAAACTGTAGTTTTGGGACTTTTTCAGAATGATGCCACAGGGATCATAACACACATCACATTATAGCATGCAATATTAACTTGACCTCCTGTTGAATAAACAAATTTGTTTTGCTTTCCTATTCTAAACAAAGCCTAAAGGATAAGAAAATTTTGCAGTTATGCAGAACATTTCAGCCACCTGTAATTTGAAGAGCGTGGGTCCTTATCGAGATGATACTGCAAGTAAGATAAATCTTGTACGTCTGTATAGAAATCCAGATTATAGGCTGCAAGTACAAGCCAGACCATATGAAAAAGAATTAGAACACAACAAATTAATTTTAAAAAAAAAACGTATAAGATGCCAAGAGGGGTACTAAAAAATCACATAAGCTAACCTAGCTTTCCGTAACTTTCAATAAGATCGATCTTGGACAGAACATTGACATGTGGCAATTCCAAGTGTAACATGGTTGATAGTGACAACAGCAATGCACTCACATACTTTCCAGGATCACTGCAGAGATGTGCATCAACTAAATGTACTGCAGTTAACTGCATTAAAGATAAAACTATGAGTCTGAATAAGGTGAGTGATTTAGGCTAGAGAACACACAATGATTAGCCCAAACATACCCTAAGATTTAAGTTCTTGATGAGTTTCATGATAACTTTTTTGGCATTTTCATGAAGAAAGAATAGCTCCACCTGACCCGGGAAGTCAAAGAGAAAGTAGTGATCTGCAGAAATCATTGCAAGCCTAATATCAACTTTATTAAAATCAAGACATTAAAGAAATAACATCTAATACCCTTTTAAATCATATATCATAGTGCTTTTCGGGAAATTGAGGATCTCATATTTCTCATAAGTTCATATACATGGGGTTGTCGTACTTTAAAAACTAAACAGTGTGCAATGAAATGCGAGATACTTCAACTTTTACAGTGTTTTAACACTTTGAATAACCTATGATATATTGCCAATAATCCAGCATTAACACATTAGATGGTAAGAGTAATTTATCTGTTCGTGTATGCACTAACTCTTCTTTTTTATAAATTGATTGATTTGCTAAATATATGACATAATCATTACATTGTAACTTAAGAAACCTTTGAGAAAAAAAGACTTGTAGAAAACAGCTTACATAATTTACAACAAAATCTAAGGCAACCAAGTCATGAACCTTAAGACATGTCTCTTTCCATTTTGCTTCAGTACATTAGCTTCGTTTTGATGAATGTATTTCCTCCCCAAATGCAAAGTAGATATCACATTTACTAGCCAAAGTGAGTTTTTTTTTTAAAGGTAGATAGCTATCACTAAAAAGAACTCTTTTATTGCACTCTCAAGTTTTGAATGTCTCAGGGGTGAAATGGCACACAAGGCCACTTTTACCAAGTTGACTCACACATATAAAAATACAACAAGAAAAAAGTCTGCTAAATTGGGTATCAATGTCACCTTTTAAGAGGGGTTTCAACTTAGACTCTAACCAGTCAATATTCTTCTCAAGATAGTCCATGCAATATACAAGACCTACAAAGCATAGTGAAAGAAAAATGTCAGGATTCACGAAAACTAGGTTTTTCATGTGCCGAAACCTCACTATGTATCATTCAAGGATATGCATTTCCTGGAAGGCCGTGAAGTATTTCTCATGGCTATCTTTTAATACACGTGATATAGCACCACGGAAACCATTTATGTATCTCAATTAGATGAAAGATAAAACTTGATACAGTACATAGGAACGGAAACATTACCTCCATTGGGACCTAGAGAATGCTCAACCATCACATCACTCAGTTTAATGAGACCCTCAATATTGATGGCACATTCATAACTTTTGAACATAAGGAACAACAGAGTGCACTCTATTCAATGCCTATCAAACATTTAAACTACAAACCGTGAAATGTAAACAAACTAAAGTTAAAAACATCTTGATGATTGAGGTGGATACGGTAAATTGTCATTTGCAGGATCCAAGTTAATCACAGCAACTTTCCTACAACGCAATTATTAAAAAAAGTTACGAATATTAGGGAACAAAGCCTTCAACCATACAAACGAACTCGTGTTCCTGCTACTCCAAGTTCACACAACTTCTCACATTGTCAAAAATAACACTCCGTATATGTCTTACAATTTTAACTAGAGTCGGATAACTTATTACTAACAAAGGTAGTTCATATACGGAGTACCATTAGTCTCTAATCACAAAAGTTATATGATGTACCAGTAAGGGCCTGTTTGGTTTACTATGTGGTACGAGTTTGGAATCCTGAATGAGGTTTAGGGTTTCACCCACCACCTAATCTCCGCCCTCCCCGTTCCCCAGCTACCTGCGGAGATTGGATTGTGATTGATGGCGAACCAAACAGGCCCTAAAGAGATACTGAGAATGCACAAGTAATTTGCAGTGAGTTCTCGAAGGCATATATACCGTCCGATGAGCCGGAGGAACTGAGACATGCCATTGCAGTAAGTGGTTTTGCCCGAACCGGGCGGGCCAATCACTATCTGACCGAACACCATTCCCGTGCAATGAAAATTTGCTCTCTTTGCTCCTGGATGCGTGAACTATGATCCCAGTGCTTTTGCTTAGGTATGGCGATGGTGAGAATTCGAATGAAGAAAATCGATCAAACTAAACAGATCGAATCCCAAAAATGAATAAACAAACGAACTGAAATAGTTAACAGCAACTAATGATTATTCAACCAATTCCTCGGTCAAAAATGATTATTAAACCAATTCCTCGGTCACCATTGCTGACCTGCGTCGCAGAGCAGCGGAAGCGAGGCATCGACTGAAGCAACAGGACGGACGTGTTGGGCCAAAATGGCCTTCTTGGATCAACAGCCCATTTTCTAAAGTGAAAGTAACCTGAACAGCCCAAAATGGCCTTCTTGGATCAACAGCCCATTTTGATATTGTTTGTCCTAATTTTGACGACGAGAACTCCGCTGCTGAACTTGAACTTTGATACCACACGTGTTGGGACCGGACACACCCTCATTCAAACCTTACATTAGTATAATTTTGATATTGTTTGTTTTGGATCGAATCTTTACATATTAGTTTCTAAATAGTTTCAAAAGGTCTCGTATCAATGAAGTTTGGCGAACCATTTAATATCGATTCTTCTTCTCTCTATTTCTTTTGTGTGGGAGGACATTGTATCCCAACAGATTGACATATATCAAATTAGAAGACTAAATAAAAATAATAATCTAAATAGTAGTAAAACATAGAGAAAGTATTAAAATAAGAATTTTTTGTTTTTTTCTCAAAAATAAGGTAGAGTTTACACTGTGGTGATATAGTATTGTATATGAACATTTCACGATATGTTTTGATAATGTATATGGCTATGCATGATTTACAATGCATATATATTTTAACTCATATTTTGAAAATAGAAATATAAAACTCTTATTTTGGTTGATTTTCAATATTTTACTTCTACTTTAATCTTTTTTTCATTTCATGGAGAAAATTTTTCTTTTTTAATACAGTACTAATAAGTATATCATACTATAATGCAACATCTC